AAACTGCGTTTCTTTTTTATCGAACTTCTATCGACCCTCTTTTTTTCTATTGCGCCACACGTCTATCGATCGATATATATCGTTATTGAATTATCGCCCTGCCCTAATATATATATATATATAAAATTGGAGGGATGATTTAGGGGAAGAAAGGAAGGAGAGAAGGGAGGTACAAGGGGTCGGGAATAAAGAAAGAACAAATAGAAAGATAGAAAGATTGAGTCCTTTTTCCTCACTGATCCTTAAAACATATTGACATCAGACTTCTTCAGACGTTGCAGGAAGCCTCCCTAGGTTAGATTTATTTCTGCTAAAGTGCCATCTTTGATTTATCCCAACAGCAGCACTGTGGTTCATCTGCAGCTTCCAGTTCCACTCATTTCTAATCAGGACTTTAATCCTGAATATAGTCTCAGATGGAGGGCCTCAGTGTTTCCTGATCACAGAGCAGATGAATCCATTTGCTGGGAGCTCCACACCAGGGAAGCAAACTAGGAATAACTGGGCCTTATAGGGCATCACAGATTTATTAGCAGCAGGAATTAATCCTGCAAAGTGCTTTAGTCTTTCCTCCCTGGTAGGAAAAGCTCCATAGAAGTGTTCCTGCTCACTGATGATTGATGCTGTAGCTACATTCTGCTTACCTTAAAAGAGCTGTGAACTAACGTCTCATCCAGGTCTATAACCACACAGATCTTCCCAGAGTCTTTTGACTTTACTGGAGGCAGCAGTGGCTTCACCTGGACCCAAAACCACAGGATAGAACATTATATTGGAGAGGCTGTTAAAATCCTGACCAATCAAAATCCATCTGAGGAAGACGTCAACACACCTTCGACACAGTCCCGTTCTCCTCCACTAACAGAGGGGCGTTGTTGTTGACAGGTGGAGGTTCTTGATGGTGCCGACACAGGCAGCAGAACAGGCCAGAGAACAGCCCTCTGCTTCTGGGCTTCTTGGACGACAGGGAGGGAGAAGAACCTGAAGGAAGAACAACAGAAAGTCCTTCAGTCAGATTTATAGTGTGCGGCGGCAGTTTGACCATTTTCTGCTGTGGGAAATCCCAGATTCCCATCAAGAAACAGTCAAACCGCATTATTTCCTGAAAGTTTGAAGATTAAAACTGACACCAAAGCAGATAAACTCATTTCCATCTGACGAGGAAATCCACAGACACACCCAAGATAAAGTCAAAAATAAAACTTCCCCTGTAGTAACCTCCGTCCAGCTGGAAGCATCAACAGAAACAGACCGCCTTTTTTCGGGTCATGTGACGCTCAGGGCGGACCTCTTTGTTTGACACAGCTTATTTTTGGCTGACAAGCATTTAAATGTGAGGATGCCGGTTGTTAGATTGGACTTCCCTTTTTTGTTTTATCGTTGTAGTAAACAAATAAAGCCCTGCCTTTCTTTAGACCACATGGGCGCTTTAGTTAGGTGGAAATGAGAGGATCATTGTATTTTATAAAGACAAATCATTTTAAAACATCTCTGCATATCTTATATGATTGGAATAACAATCTCTTCCATAACAAACTACTTAAAGTTTTGCTATTACATGTCACGTGAAATTATTGTCTGGCATGATGGTGAAGCATCTAAAACACCCTTGTTTTCATTATTATACTTTTAATACTTTTTAACTTACTTTGAAGTAGTTTTGAATTTAATTAAATTCCCATTTAGTGTCTACCTTCCTTCCAAAATGTGGATGTTTATGGGAGAAAAGATTTATTTCTCATTGAAGGTATTTTTATTTTATTTATGGCTCCATTTCAGATTTGTTATTTTTCGTTATTTACAGTTTAGGTTTAGACTGCCTGAGGACTTAGAGCCCACTTTTCCTCTCTCTGCTTCATTCTATCTATACTCTGCAATTCTGCAGTATTTATTATTCATCCCCTAACTGGATGTGCCCTCATTTATCGTTTTAAACATGAAAACTGTCTCAGAGCTCATCTGTTTATCCATTTTTTTTCATAGACAGACCCACCTGTGGAGTTAATTTACTATTACATTTTTTCTAACATAGAAAGTAAAGTTATTGATCAATGTTTCTCTTTATATGTCCGCTTCTGTCTCCATGAACTCCAGTCAGCCTCAGCAGAAGGCTGGTTCTGCTGGAGGTTTCTTCCGGCTAAAAAGGGAGATTTTGCTCCTCACTGTCGCTGCATGCATGCTTGGTGAGAGGGATTGCTGTTGAGTCAAAGGCTATGTTCACATTGCAGCCTGAAGTGACCCAAATCCGATTTTTTTGCCATATGCGACCTGGATCGGATCTTTTCATGGCAGTCTGAACAACACAGATCCGATTTTTTCCAATGCGACCCAGGCCGCTTGGCTGTGTGGTCCTGAATTTGATATGAATCTGATCTTTTCAAATGCGACCTGCGTCTGAACGGCCAGGTCGCATTCATCCGACCTGAACGTCATTAATACCCGACAAAGGTCACTTTTCTGGGTCTTGATATGCAGAAGCGGCAAGAAAAACAACAACCAGATGATGATGCGGAGAGCAGTATTTATATTTAACCATATTAAAAAGATTGAGTTTTTATAGTTGGAAAAGCCCGCTAGACGTGCGCCGGCACTACCATCCAAGTTTACATCCGTAAACATAGAGCACGCTAGTCTGTGATGTAATTGCGTCCTCTACTGCGCATGTGGGACATTTGCGTTGTATGACTGCAGTTCAAACAGGAGATCACATACAAGTCGCATATATTTGGAAATATGAACGGCAACGCGAAAAAATCGGATTTCGCAAAAAAAAAAATCGCAATTGAGCATCAAGGCCTGCAGTGTGAACGTAGCCAAAGACGCAATGCAAACAAATATATGTCCTGTTGCAACATGCTTATCCAGGAGTAGCAAATACTAGAAAGTCAATGACTGGATGCAAACTGCTGCTTTTTCCTCAGAACACTTTTAACTAATCTGCATGATCTGACTGAATTATCTACATAAATAAACTGCATTGAACTGAACCTTAGGAGTGAATAAACTCTTTGGAAAAAGGGTACATTTTGTGAAAATGTGTTACTCTGCTATTTAAAACTTTCAACAGGATGAAGGTCTAATAACAGAGTCCAAATATAGGATATGTGTCATCAGACAGAGGTCAACCTCGATTCTCCAACAGAATATCTACAGAAGACTCAAAACAGTCTGGAGATTTAAAAAAAACAAATTCCCTCCTCCTTCATGTAATGTTAAAAGCAAAAATCTGTGAACTTAAAGGTTACTTCCATCTATTTTAGGGCATTTAAAGAAACAAGCACTTCCAGAATAAAGTTGGGAAGCTTTTAATTATATTTTATAGCTAATTACAGCTAGAGCGTTGTTAGTTTGAAGCCATGCCTGCTCATCTCAGTTACAAAGTTCCCTCCTCCTGCTGCCATCCCTGTAATCAAACACTTCTCACTCTTTTCTTCCCAACGTCAGACTTTGTTTCCGTCTCTGTTCTCTGGTTCCGTCCGGACGTGACCGCGTTACTAACACACCAAACCTCTGTTGTGAAGGTCTCACGCCTCTTTCATTCCCTCCTCCGTTTGCGGATTCAAACCCCCGGCGTGACCCTCCGCCGGCCCCTTCCGTGCACGGGGGCCAAAACAGGAAAAGGAAACAGACGGGTATCGGAGCGAGGAAGCTCCTCTGCCAGGAGAGACGCCGCTGATGTCCATCCGTTTAGAGTTTAGTTTCATCATGTCCATTAAAAAAAAAAAAAAAAAAGAAAGAAAAAAACCTCTCTTTTATTCACCGATCACATGCCTCTCTGAGAGAAAAATGTCCCAGTGGACCCTGAATGCAAAACAGAGCATGAATGAATTTTACGGAAAAACAGAAAAGCGGGTTTTATGAAGATGACAAGCAGGGAGCTAATATGGGGCGAAGCGGAACGTTCCGCAGGGAAACAAACGACACAAAGACAAGTGAACCCAAGGAAATCAGAAAACTTTCAAACTCTATCAGTTCCAATCAGCCTTCCAACACTTCACAAAAAAAAAAAATAAGAAAAGACAAAGGAGCATTTTCCATTAAACCTTTCAGATGGCTTTATTGTGAAAAATCTACTTTCTCTTCACCGGTGCTCATGGCCGCTACTTCCTGCTTGGTGCGTCTGCTCTCTGCAATTTGAGATGGCTTCTGACAGAAATAAACTGCGGGCATATTTTCATGCCGTAGTGAGGACGCTTGTGAAACGAGCTGTAGCTTTGGTGCAACCTCTAAAAAAAAAAAAAGGAATGCGACACGGCCGGATGGAATTCAGGTTTCCTTCTTCACGTTTCTGACTGGCTAAAAAAAATCACAACTTTATTTAGAAAATGACTTCTATCCAACATATGCTCCCATATAACTGCTTTCCATTCCAAAATAAATAAACTTAATAAGTAACTAACCTCTCTTAGTAAAGTTCTACATAAAAGGATCTACCCAGTGTAAATAAAGCATGTAGTTGCTGAATGTTATGTAAAATGAGTTATTTTATTGTATTTTATTATATAAAAAAAACAAAACTGAAATGTAAATATACAGTCATATGTTTTTATTACTGTTTTTATGTATTTTTACGGTTTTTAAAGGCTGCACTTTAAAAAAAACAACTGAAATTGTCTAGAGAGCTTTTCTTAACTAAATTTCTTTTTGTTTACACTTCTTTTGTCACAAAATGACAAAAATAAATCTAAGTTGCGTCTCAGTTTAACATGTACTGCATGAACTGCATTTTGCACCATTATCATTTTGCACTGCACTGAACCTTTCTATATAAATGCCCTTTTGCAGCATTATTTTTCTTTTTTTCTGTGTACCATTTATATGATGATGACTTCTGCAATTTATAATGGTAATGTTCATTTCACTTTTTTAAGCAGCAACCTAATTTGGTTTTGTATGCACTTTATGTATAGAAAATTACACTAAAGTTTGTCTAACTCTAAGTCTAGTTAAGGTTCCTTTTAACTACATGCCAAACAGATGCATAAAACTCTTTGTGCACCAGCGTTCAGCCCTTTAATGAGATCAAAGCTTCACCGCAAACTGAACTCTTTGAAAAGTCTTTATTTGCATAGAAATTGCTCAAGTTCTTCTAGTAAAAGTTTTAAGTCATTTATTCATTTCTAGCAGCATTTTATGATCTTAATAAAAAGACTCATGGCTTTAAAAGAAGATCAGAGGAACAAGTTAATAAATTGCTCTTAGTTATTGGAACAGCTGTTTGTTGGACTGAACTGGATCCTTTATAAGAGCAATGCACTGAAATGAAGGTCTGAGTCGATTCTAATATTTGATAACAAAACAAACAAAAAGAGAAATAAATATTAATTGGGGCAGTGTTAAAAAGAAAAGATATCCTAAATAAAACATTTTCAGCAGTCCTAACAGCTGCCATTAACATGGTTCATTTCGTTCTGAATGTTAAAGGTATAGTTTTTGAAAAGACCCGCCCTCTTCACTTTAAAATAAAATGCACATGTACCACCCTGTACCCGCTCCCGAGAGCATGCACGAGCCCTCCTCGTTTTACTAGCAAAGATATGAAATGGATTTCTCCACATAGCGTGCCAAACTTTACCCGTCGAGTAGAAACTTCAGAAACGACGCGTCATCATCGCGTGAAAGAATCTCCCAAAAAACACTCTCGTCCTGTTTCTCTCTTCTGAGGCCTTTCTTTTCTTCTCGTACACTTCGCAGAAACTTTTTTCTGTTACGTCTGTCGCCCATTTTCGACAGAGAGGCGAGCTTCAATGAAACCGTAAACATATCAGCAGAATGATTGACAGTTAGGGGAACCATTTATTTAAATGATCCACCAGGAAACAGAAAATCCTCCACTATACCTTTGATATTATAGTGGAAACAAAATGTTGCATAACTACACAGCAAAACAGATATAGGTAACTGCTAAAAAAAAATTTCTAAATTGATCCATGAATAATAGCACCAATTTATCAGTCAGTTGGTTGATCGATTGTGGTCTT